GGTCTATAAACATAGCTGGAGGTGGCCTGGGTAATCTCTAGCACAGCCAGGCAGAACAGCAATGCGTCTGAGGGCTCTTGTATTGAACAGTTTGGTGTAAAATCACAGGAAGGAGCCCCCCAGGCCTCCTTAGGACTGATTGGGAGGCAATCCCAGCAAAAAAGAAATCCATTTCCCTTCTCTTAGAACCCCTGAACTTATATTTCTGACCCTTAGTTATGTGTCTGACTTTCCCTAGAAGTTGATTTTGAGGAAACTTCCCTTGAAACTACCTGGAAAGATTATCCCAGCACTCCACCAAACATTGGTACATCTCTCATATTATGGTCTGAGAGAAGCTGGAGAAGGGAGAGATCAGTAGGTCATACCAGGATTTCTAAAGGCCCAGCTTAGCTCCAGCTAATTGTGTGTGTGTGTATGTGTGTGTATGTGTGTGTATATGTATTTCCTGATAAGTATATATCCCTGTAAGGAAAGGCAGGTTGGATCAGTGTACTGGTTTAGGTTTTTCTTAGTGCTCTCCAACCATGGGTGAAATCTAACCAAGACTCCCAGGAGTAAAATCTAGTCCAGACTCGAATTCTGAAGCTCTCTTATGTCTCAGACTGCATGGTGTCAAGGCTAAGCCACTGGGTTGTGCAGACAATGTGGACTTGAGTGTAGCCTGACAAGGTGGTCTTTGTAGCCCAGAAGTCCTGCAATACAGCAGTTTTTATTTAAAACCTATGGCCTCCCTGAGGCTGGCCCTCTAGCAACAGTAGGCTAAGTCTTGGGTGGAAGGAATACCATGTTCAGCTGTGAAGGGGCAGGTGAAGCAGCCTAAAAAGCAGGCCCAGTAGGCTGGTAAAGAAAATAGAGTCATATTGGATATGTACACCGGTGGAGGGATGGGTGTTTGATCATTGTATGACTGAAACTCAGTCATGGAAGCTTTGTAACTGCATCTCACGGTGATTCTATTTGGAAAAAAATATGAACATTGCTTCAAAAACTAGAAATTGAGCTTCCATATGATTTGGCAATACCATTTCTGGGAATATATCACAAGGATGCAAAGAAGCACAGTAGAAATGACATCTGTAATTATATGCTCATTGGAGCACTGTTCACAATAGCAAAGATCTGGAAACAACCTGAGTGCCCTAGAACAGAAGACTGGTTAAAGAAACTTTGGTACATATACACAATGGAATACCATGCAGCTGTTAGGAGAGATGAAGTCGTGAAATTTGCTTATAAGTGGATTGACATGGAGAGCATCATGCTAAGTGAAATTGAGTCAGAAAAAGAGGGACAGACATAGAATGCGTTCATTTGTGGAATATAAAATAACATGAGACTGACACCCAAAGACAGTAGACAGAGGGCCAGGAATATTGCCCCATAGTTGGAAGCCTGTCTCATGAGCTGGTGGAGAAGGCAGCTGGAATAGAGAAGGGATCACTAAGACAATGAAGGTTGGAAGAATCATTCGAGATGGGAGATGTGTGCTGAAAGTAGATAAAAGACCAAACGTGATAACCTCTCAATATCTGTATTGCAAACCATAATATCCAAAAGAAAAGAGAGAGAGTATGGGGAAAATTGTCTGCCATGGAGGCGGGGGAGGATTGGAAAAAGGGCGGGGGGGGGAGTATAGTGGAGACATTGGTGGTAGGGAGTGTGCACTGGTAGAGGAATGGTGTTTGATCATTATATGATTGAAACTCAAACATGAAAGCTCTTAACTGTATCTCACAGTGATTCAATTAAAAAAATTACAGGTGAATTTGAAATGCAGAAAGAAAGAAAGAAAGAAAGAAAGAGAGAGAGAGAGAGAGAGAGAGAGAGGGAGGGAGGGAGGGAGGGAGGGAGGGAGGGAGGGAGGGAGGGAGGAAAAAGGAAGGAAGGAAGGAAGGAAGGAAGGAAGGAAGGAAGGAAGGAAGGAAGGAAGGAAGGAAGGAAGGAAGGCAGGCAGGCAGGCAGGCAAGCTGTTCCAGTAGAAACTAAGAGAAGCAGAAGAGCTGAAAGTGAAGGACATAGGAAGGGCCCACGGCCATGAATAGAATTAAGAAATCTTGCAAAATGGACTGGAAAGGTAGCTCAGAGAGTTGGAGCACATGCTTTTCAGATGAGAGCCTTGGGTTCAATCCCCAGAACTACATGGTTCCCCCAAATGCTAGCAAATATGGCCCAAAACACAAGCAAAAAATGCTGGCAAAAAAAAATACATACCTCTCCTTATTCCTGACACAATGGTTATCCTCTATTCCTGTTTCAGTATCTGAATTCCCTGTCATAACAGTTTGTTACCAATTTCTATAATGAAGTCTCTTAGAGCTTGTAGTAAATTTAAGAATAATCTTTTGTAAAAACAATAAAGAAGGTAGAATAAGTGGAATATGGCCCCTGATTGGGGTTTCTTTTTTTTCTTTTTCTTTTTGGGTCACACCCGGTGATGCACAGAGTTTACTCCTGGCTCTGCACTCAGGAGCTACTCCTGGTTTTGCTCAGGGAACCATATGGATGCTGGGAGTCGAACCCAGGTCGGCTGCGTGAAAGGCAAATGCCCTACCCACTGTGCTATCTCTCTAGCCCCAATTGGGGTTTCTTAAAGTGATCTGGAAAACCAAAATTGAAGCTCAGATATATAGTCTGGACTTCCATGATAATGTTAAGAGTGACATCAGTATTAAAACTTAGTTCTTAAATTTAGAAATCTTGAGTTCAAATTGCATCTCTGATAATATTGGTGTGGCTTTGGGCAAATTAATTTCTCTACTTCTGGTCTGGAACAATAGAACAGTGAATAAAGCACTTGCCTTGCTCATGGCCAAACAGGCTTCGATCCTGGGCACTCCCCACCTCTGAGACCTGAGCACAGAGCCAGAAATAAGTTCTGAGAAGTGCCTGGTGTGGCCCTAAAAGAAAAAGAAAATTCTCTACTTCTCTGTATTCTTAAATAAAATCTTCTTTGCGTTCTTTTATGCTTATTAAAGTTTATATCCTAGGGCCTAACACACAGTTGAGCCTCGAGAACTGACGGAATATGGCCCAGGCCTTGTGTAGCAGCAACACTTGTTCCAGACCACATGCAAAACTGGTGACAGTTTTATTAACTGAAACAAAATACACTGTTACATTGGTTGGAGAGAGAATTGTATTTTGGGGGACACTTACTTAAGGATGAAGTTAACAGTAAGTTACTGATTCCCCATCCCCCAGTACAAACTTCCATTTATATACGAGTTTGGTAGATGGGTCATTCTCAACAAATGACATTGGAACTCATAGCTAAAAAAACACATTCAGGGCCGGAGCGTTAGCACAGCAGGTAGGGCGTTTGCCTTGCACGCGGCCCACCTGGGTTCGATCTCCGGCATCCCATATGGTCCCCCAAGCACCGCCAGGAGTAATCCCTGAGTGCAGAGCCAGGAGGTACTTCTGAGCATCACTGGGTGTGGCCCAAAAAGCAAAAAAAAAAAAAAAGACACATTCATCTTTTGATAGGCACATGGCTATTCCCAACATCCCCCACCCCCAAAAAATTTGCATTTGAACTTTGAGATTCTTACCTGGACAGGATATTTTCCAGGTGTTAGGGGAAATGTAAATTGGGAGATGACAATTAATCATAAGTTTTTAGATGAACACCAGCCTGGTCTCACAGTCATCTTAGTTGGCCTGAGATCATGGTCTCAGCAGGGGATTGGGCTACAGATGGGTTGGAGTACTGACATAGGCTTTTACAATCAATGTGGTTGATTATATAAACATTTTATTAAACTTTATTTCATTAAACTGATTGAAAAAGGGCCTCTGCAACATTTATCTCCGGTCCAAATCTTACTCCACAGAATGGATTCCTTTTGAGGATGTACATGGAAATGGCCAGGCTGGGCTCTGTGTCTCACATATGAGAACCCAAGAGAACCTGAAGTGCTGGAAACCAGAACCTGTTGAGTGTGATGGGTCAGAAAGTCAAGCCACGGGGCTGGAGCGATAGCACAGTGGGTAGGGTATTTGCCTTGCACGCAGCCGACCTGGGTTTGATACCCAGCATCCCATATGGTCCCAGAGCACCACCAGGATTAATTTCTGAGTGCATGAGCCAGGAGTAACCCCTGTGCAAGGCTGGGTGTGACCCAGAAAGCAAAAAAAAACCCACAAAAAAAGAAAGTCAAGCCATTGGGAGGGCATGCTGGAGCATCAGATACTCTGAGACAGTTGTATTTGAATCTAACTTAGTCAGATATTGTTTTCTTCCTAAACTCAGGAAGGAGCACCCCTTTCTCCATGAAGTGATCCTGTAGTCTACAAGAAGGAATCTGGTCCTCATCTCCATTCCTGGAATTGAGCTCCTAGAACCTTGGAATTTCCTAAGTGAGAACACATAAGATGTCTTTAGTTACACTGGTGACGTGGCATTTGGTGAATATTTTTGCCTGCAAAGTCAACCACATGACTACAGATTTGGAACCTTCAGTCCAGCCTCCTGATCTCCTTGTGGGAGAAGAGGCAGGCATCACTTTTGCATCTTGGAAACAAAGAATACATGTGGTTCCACTCAGACCTTTTTTTATGCCCAATCATGCCCCACTCCTCGCTCCCAATTCTGAGAATTCCTGCTGCAGGCATCTGTGTATTCCTGCCTCTGTGCCTTGCTCATGCTCTGTCCTCTCCTCCAGATGGCCTTCCAGTCTTCCTTCCTGAAAGAGTGCCCTTCCACCTAAATGGCCCAACTCAAAAGTTACCTTTTAGAATCCTCAGTAGACATCCTCAACCCCATAAAATTAGTCTCTCCCTCCTCCGCTTCTGTTGCAGTTTTATAGCACAGTTACATTATTCCATTTGAGCCTTGTTATTTTTCCCTCTGTGAATTCTTTGAAAACAGGATCTGTACCTTAATCATAGTATCTTTCTTCCCAGTGTCTGTCCCAGTGCCTGGCATCTGTTTGATATACATTAAAGGTATATAGATGAAAACCAAGGAATTTTTTTTTTGTTTCTTCTCCCTACAGAAACGATGACTATGCTTAGAGGACGGCTTGTGCCAAGGACACAGTGGAACAACCATCTTGCCAAGATCTTGAGTAACTTTTCCCAACCAACAACACCCAGACAACTCCAGTGACCAAATGTTCAGCTGTAACCACAGCAATAACTGGCCCTCTTTCCAGATTGGGTTTGGTGACCGAAACCAGCACAGCCACTTCCAGAGGCCATAGGTGGTGGGTGTGCTGTAGGAGAAGCCTGTCTCTCATGGCCAAGAATCAAGACTGAACTCTGGAAGAAACCACCAGACACAGTGAGGGTACTAGAACATAGAGAACCAGGACCCTTAGAGCTTAACCTAAGGCCCACGGTGATGGGAACACGGTACCTGCCCTGGCAACATCACTTTGATATGATGTAATTTGCGTGAGTGCCCTGGAAGGACTGAATATTTTCAAATATATCCAGGTGCTAAATAGGCAGCAAAGCTAATTGACACTGGACTGTCTTTGAACTAGTAACTGTCTCCAGAAAACAATTTCATTCCAAGAAGTGCTCTAGCTTTGGAAAGAATAGCCCCAGGAGAATGTCTAGGATACAAGACTTTTCCCCTGGAGAAAACCCAGTGCACGGAGGGCTAGTTCCCAGCAAGCTCACTGCCCATCCCTGCACTCCGCAGAGAGTACCAGTTGATCAAGGCTCACTCTTCTGCTAAACCCAGCTTCCGAGGAGCCAGAATCCCCAACATTGTTGTCTAGATAGTCAGCAGCTAGCCTTTCAAATGTTGTTGGAAATTAGAATGAAAGTTAGTTGTCACCCCTGTAAAGAGACATAAATCTCAATGGCCTAAGCATTCTAGAAATACCCTTTCCCAGACATATCTGCTCACTGGGGGAACAGCCTCAGAGGTAAGTTGAAGGGTGGTGTGAGAAGAGTTTACAGAGAGATAATAGCCCTCCCCTTGAGGAAGGCATACTATGGGGCCTTCTTGGCTGAGTGCCTTCTGGGGTATTTCCATATGCAACAGCCCAGAGGCATAGCCTTGGGCAGTCACAAACAGGTTTCCTTTTCACTCCCAGACCCATGTATCACTTTTCATTGCACTTGGGGAATGGAAATACCTACAAGAGTGAAGGTCAAGGGCTCTCCCCGGGTATTTCATTCATTATTCAGCTTCCCTTGTGACTACATCAGCCAACCCACTGCCAGCGTATGCCTGTATTTCTCATCATTGCTTCTGCCTCCATACGAATGAAACCAAAGTCCGAATCATACCCTGGGGGGTGCAGGTGAAGGGAGCTGTTATCCAGTGGTCCCCTCTCTATTTCTCTCTATTTCTCCCTTTCTTTTTTTTTTCCTCTCTCTCTCTCTCTCTCTCTCTCTCTCTCTCTCTCTCTCTCTCTCTCTCTCTGTACATAGTATCCCAACCCCACATTTGCACCACGTCTCCAAGTCAGCATTTTCCCTTTTCATATAATCCCTTTTCAACAGAATCCAGAATCATAGTTTACCTTTCCTGGGAATCTCATTAGCTTCATTTGAATTAGTATTTCAAGGTGGGTCTACCTGGGCAGAAACAGAATCATAATGTGTCTCTAGAAAGTTCTTGTCACAAGCTGCCAGGTGCCAAAAGAAGAAAACAACAACAACAACAACAACAACAACAACAAAACATAATAACTTCCCCTGATGTCAGTTCTAAAAGGATGGAGGCCGTTGAATACAGGAGACGGTGTTCACACACTCCAGATGTATGTGTTCCCCAGCCTGCGGAATCCATTTCCATCCGATAGGCTTTCAATCACTGGGACCCAAAGGGAACTCAAGGTTCTGCCTATGTCTGATGACATGAGAAGAATTCTATCATCTTAGCCCAAGGTTTCCCTATGCCCATCCACTCCCATTCAGACATCCTCCATCATACCAGTGTTTAGAACCAAAGCATGAAGAACTAGTGCCAGCAAGATAAGTCAGCAAAAGAAATATATCTCTAGAGCCAGACTGATTAGGCCAGCAGAATGGCCTCGGACAGACCAGATGTGCCACAGTAGGTAGTAGCAGGAAGCCATCCCAATTAAGTGTCATGTGTAGTTGGCAAGGGGAGCCTGGGTGGAAGGTGCTGGGGCAGCCATGCCTACTGTTCCCCCTTCAAGACATTCCTGCCCAGTGTATGCCTGTATTTCTCATCATTGTTAGTAGGCGTGGGGTACCCAGGAGTGTGCTCCTGGGTTGTTGGAAAGAAGCAGAAGGTGGCTTTGTAGGGGAGAGCAGGCAAAAAGGCCTGATCACTAAGCAGGTGGCATTGTTTCTGGAAAACTTTGTCTAGCCAGTTCAACTGTGGCCAGAGGCTGATTATAAATTTGAATTCCCTTAAGCCCATCTGTAACTCTTCCTCTGTTCTCTTGCATTCTGTTTGGTTTCCCTTTAGTTTCCTAGTAAATGTTCCTTTTGAAAAATTCCAACTTTGTCTTGTTGACCTTGGGGGATGGGGACTCTTCAATATCTTTTCCAAGACAGGAGAAGAAAATTCAGCAGAAATGTATATTATTAAAATATTTTTAAAGTAATGTCTGGAGAACTAGTATAGGGGTTAAGTCTCATACTTTGCACAAAGGGGACCCTGATATGATCCCCAGCACTCCAGTGCCCCCCTCAGCATTGCCAGGAATGATCCCTGAGCACAGAGCCAGGAGAAAGCTCAACACTGTTGGGTGTGGCCCAAAACAACAAACAATAAATAAAAATAAAGGAGGGCCAGAGTGATAGTACAGTTGGTAGGGCATTTGCCTTGCACACAGCTGACCTAGATTCAATCTCCAGCATCCCATATGGTTCCCCAGCACCACCAGGAGTAATTCCTAAGTGCAAAGCCAGGAGTAACCCCTGAGCATCGCTGGTTGTGACCCCCCACCCCACACAAAGCAAAAATAAATAAAGGAAACAATAATGGAAAGGTGACTCTGTCACCAATGGTAAGACCTTAGGACTAAAACCTGGTGGAAAGCTCATATCAAGAAATGGGGCAAGATCTTGGGCTGGAGCAATAGTACACAGGGAGGGCATTTGCCTTGCACACAGCCAACCCAGGTTTCATGCCTGGCATCCCATATGGTACCCTGAGCACTGCCAGAACCAATTCCTGAGAGCAGAGTCAGGAGTAACCCATAAGAATTGCTGGGTGTGAACCAAAAGCAAAAAAAATAAAAATAAAAATAAAAAAATAAAGGACAAGACCCAGTAGTGTCTGTCCCACATCTGGCACTGATTCCCTACCTCTTGCTGTCTTTGTCTTCAAAGGGATATGCCTTGGATAAGTGTTGCTGTCAAAGCATTTATCTAGCCAATAAATAAATATTCAGTATGCAATGTGAGGGCTAGAAAAATGGTTCAAAGGGCTGGAACTTAGTAGGCAAGAGCTCCGGGTTCCATGCCTGACACTGCATGATCCCACAAGCACTGCGTAAAATGACTCCCTGGGTTCCCCCAGGTGTGGTCCCAAATAAATTAACAAGCAGACAGTGTGATGTCCAGAAAGTACCATGATACATTACTAGAGGAGGAATGAGAGAGAGAGAGAGAGAGAGAGAGAGAGAGAGAGAGAGAGAGAGAGAGAGAGAGAAATGCTTTCAACAAAGTGGATGTTTTCAAAGTGCCTCAACAGTCATGCCTCTAAATGAAATGAGTTTATCCTTGTGGTCATCTGTAGAACTCCCATGTTAGTCAGAGTCTTAGACTTAGCCAAATAGATTAACAAAAATGGGAAATTTCCCATTATTCTCATGGTCATCCTATCCTAGTGGCTGTTCCAAGTCTCTATTGCTGCATAACCTAGCACTAGAAAGCCCAGTGGTCCCAGCTAAGAGTTATTATCTCCTATGGCTATGTGGGTTGGCTGGGGTTAAGTAATTGCTCTCTCTCTCTCTCTCTCTCTCTCTCTCTCTCTCTCTTTCTCTCTCTCTCTGGAGTCTCATAATTGTCAGAGAGCAGCAGGGCTGGGCATCATCTGAATGATGGATTCTTCATTCTCATGTCTGGCTCCTCCATTGGGATGACTAAACAACTGGGAACAGGTTAGGTAATTCTCCAGATAGGCTCTCTACATGGTCATGCTTCTTTCTAACATGGAGGTCACAGGTAGCCCAAGTTCATTTTTAGAGATTGGCCTCCCTAGCACAGCAAAAAGTTCAATTTGTGCTGCAATCACACTCTTAAGTGACACAGAGGGGCCAGAGTGACAGTACAGTGGGTAGGGCATTTGCCTTGCACACGGCCAACCCAAGTTCCATTTCCAGCAACCCATTTGATCTCCAGATCACTACCAGGAGTTACCCCTGAGCATGTCTGGGTGTGGTTCGAAAAGCCACAAATATATCAATAAATAAATTTTTAAAATAGAAATAAATAATGTGACACAGAGTCATTCCCATCACATACTATGGGCCACAGGTCTAATCTAGACTAACAGGAGAAAGGTTACACAAGAATGAAGTACCTGAAATGTGATCTTCAAGGACACTTTGGAGATAATGGGGATGGGAGTGGAAGTTCCCACTTCCCATGCAGGGCAAAGAGTGAGGTTGGACAGAACAGGTGAGTGTCACTAAATCAGAAGGTCTCTGGGTAGTGATCGTTTTGTGTACCATATACAAGGGTGAAGGGAGGTGTGGAGAAATGTCAAAGGAGAGGGGAGGAGTGATCCATGAACATTTAAATAGATCATATGCCAAAGGTAGGTGACTGGAAATGACTGGTAGCGAGTTTTTGATGTCACAAGATCTGTTGGAGGACAAATATGATTATTCTCACTTCACTAACAGATCACAAATATAAGTTGGCTTTTTAACTCCACCCCGTCATTTTTTAACCAAAATAAAGATGGATACAAGTCACTATGCTTGGAGATCATGTTTGGAGATGAAAGACAAAGTATGCTAAATGGAGGTTGTCTGGCCTTTTATTGAATACCACACCCTAGAAAGAATTACTGACAGTTAACAGAAAGTTATTTCTCAGGTCTCATTGCCAGTAGTCCTTGGAATGAGGTTCCCAGTTGCTAGGGCTGCCCTGGTGCCTCCTCCACCTGCCCCTCCCTCTTACAGCAGTCCTGACATAAGGACCAGTGAGGCCCAGTCTACTGCTCTTCCTCCTAGCCTGGCTTCCTCCAAACTCAGCCACCTTGCTACACTTTTCAAAACTATGTTACAGAAACTGACTTAATGAACCAAGAAAAGGGCATAAATATGGATGAGCATATGGCCAAGAACAATGTCTGCATCCTATATGTGGATCTTGAGAATTCTTCAGGTCATTAAGCAGTC